GCATCGGGCATAAGTTATTAGAAATCGAATTAGAAATTAGAAATCGGACATAAATAGAAATACCGCTACCAATTCAAAAGTGAAAACTGTAAAGAATTATAATTTTGTAATTATTGGTGTATTAATTGATCAATACATGTCTTTCGTGTTTGTTTGATACATAAAGCAAGTACCCAAAAATTCATTTTCGTTGGGCTCGAATTTTATGTACATGCATTATAAACGAAAGTAAACATCGATGGGGTAAACAAGTCTCGATAAGATCAATAATTAAACTTTTACATGTATACACACTTTTTCCGAGTACCCGAGTACTCGATCGGAAAATCGTCCGAGTAACCGATTATCAAATATTGACCGATTTGACATCCCTAATATATATATATATATATATATATATATATATATATATATATACGCACCTCTGATATAGTTTTACGGGTTTTCAGAAGGGACAATATTTAGTTTAATACTAAGTTAATTCAATTTTTCAAATTCTGTATCTTTTACTCAACTATCATTTTATTCATTTTGAAACATTTTTCTCTTCCAAAGTATGAATGAATAGAAAGGTAGTTCAAGTTGACTTTTAATTCCTTTATGTAATTTGTTTATGCTTTATACTCTATTACATCTTCATGGGTATATACATGTATTGTCCCTTTACATAAATTTCAGAGTATTTAGGTTTAGATGAACCAAACTATTTTAGAATATCTAAACAATCATTTATGAACACTGCTTTTTAACAATACTTTTTACATGAGTTTCTCTCTTTAGAAGTGTAATTTATTATAATTCACAACAAAAAGGCATAAATCTGTTTTAAATGTATTAATGTATCATTTTATTAATGGAAAATAAATTTCGACTTGAAATTGTTTACTTTTTAAGGTTTTTGTTGGCTATTTATAGAATAAATACGTCTATTTAGTGTGTGTAAGCCAACAATAATAGCAATGATAAAGGACACCCGGTATTGCTATTTATGCATCAGTTTAGGAGAACATTCATAATTTCTTTCCGTAAAGTCCGTTATTGAATCCCTTACTGATTTCTATTATATTTATAAAATATCTGTAAACACCTGTTTGTCTATTATTTCATTCATTTGTCTAGCAGAAATATATGTATTCACAAGGAAGTAAAGCTTGAATTTCTCACACCTGTATATACGTTATATTAACTGTAACGTAAATTCCTCTGGTCGTACGATTTATATCCTTAAAATACTGAATACCCGGAATATGAGACGATTCGGGTGCTTTATTACTCATTACAATCATCTCAATCAACATGACCTATGTACCCCATATTTCTGTGTGATTTTCTTCTGATAACGAATGGAATAAAAATAAGTGAAATTAAAAAAAAATTAAGAAATTAACTTCTTAGGTTTGATTAGTTCCATTGATTATTTTATTGGTTGATTAAGATTTTTTTCTATATATGAACAATACAAATCCTGAGGCAAATTTAAGATACCAAAATAATCCTATCGTTATAGCCTATAGGGTACGAGTTCCTATAAAAAGTATGAAATTCTTTATTGCAGGATATATATATTGTTTTAAAATCATCTGGTTCACAGAAAAAGTATAAGTATCTTTTTAACTTTGTGGAGAATTGCTGTTCTTAATTCGAACTTACTTTCCCTCAAAATAATGACATGTATATAGTGTATGTTTGAATAAAAATGAACCAGGTCAAAAACTGAAGACTTGAGTTTGGAACAAAATTTAAAAAAAAAATCTTCGAATTAAGATACACATGAAAGAATTTTTAATAATTTGATTATTTAGACTTTCGTTTTTCTTAGAATATTATTGTAGATCACCAACTATTCCAACATTCATATCATAACTACATTCTCTATCTAACGTTTTATATAAAAAAAAAAAAAAAAACAAAAAAGAAAGATGTTTAGATGTTAAGAATTAGAGAAAGGAAATATTTGTACGCGTCATGAATAATGTATGTGAATAAATGCTACTTAATCATCCTCATCAAATTACATAATGTTATACCACCTTAAATTTTGTCTAATTGGGGGAATTTTCATTCATTTCTATAGTGAAAAAGGAATTGCAAAAATGCCATTTGCTTACGAGGTAAACAAACACACATTCCTATAGTAAAAGTTATATTTGTTTTTTCCTTCTTAATAGAATTTATATTCCGCCATTTCATAGCCGTTTCAATAATGAACTTAGTTTCTATTACAGTTTTTTTTCGTGAAATACCTGATACATGTATATTGTATTTAATGGTTCATGTATTATCTCAAATACCTTTCCTGTCCTTGAACATAGAATACTACAATCGTAGCAATTATTCTATTAAATACATATATTGCCATACTTTAAAAAAAAATGCAAAATATTGTGACAAGTTTCTTAAACCAAAATACAAACATAATACAAAATACTTTTATTAAGTTCCTTGACATTTCTAAACAATTGAAAATATTACACAACTTGGCTTTGACCACGTATTGCTTCCTGATATGTAAAAATAAAATAATGTAATTCCATTCGAATATACTTTCTCAGAATAACTTACCTAATTTTATTACATATCACAAAAACTTCCGCTGTTTTTCTTTCTTATCAAATAAACATAATCAGAATTTTACCTTACAATGCATTTGTACAATGCTATTTTTCTTAAATTTTCTTTCATTTGAAATAATTTTAAGGAAATGTAGCATACAATGTCTTTAGGCCTTGTACTAGTATCTTAAGACTTTGTATACCAGATCAACTTTAAAAAAGTAATTGGTGTGTTAGAAGGCACTGAACAATAGTTATATAGGTATTAATAAAAATGTCTGCTTTGTCTATTTGGATCTTAATATATTTTTCTGTATAAACAGAATTTACCTAAAAGGCCCTCCATTCACATTAAAGAGTCCGTTCACAAGATATCCTCTTGCAACAATTAAATGATGTATCTATCTTTTAATAATGTATGATTAGACGATATATAAATATTTGTTACAACTACTTTACGGTCTTTTAGCTATTGCTTGTTTTCATTATGGTGCAGTCTAGTGTAAATTGTTGAGTTACATTGGAAATAAAACGCTACATTTTGTCGTCATGTAATCTAGATATCGACACGACCAGCTTGCATTGAAGTCAACCTAATTTCAAATATTTCAAGGACAATGAAAGGGGTCGTAAAGGTGAAAACTCGACCATGACGCATCGCATCCAGGGAGCAATTCAAGTGAGGGGGGGGGGGGGGGAGGTGGCACAAGAATGTAATATAATGAAAATTCTGTGAAAGTTTCATTAAATTTTATTTGGTAGTATAGGAGTTCCTGATAAGAAATGGGTACCCCCATGTTATAGAAGAATGGCAATGCCCATGTTTTGTTATGGGAAATCCCAAAAACATCTGTATGTCAGATCCAGACGGAAAATAAAAGATGCACATAGACACTATATGATAAAGATTCTGTGAAAGTCTCAATAAATTTTATTTAAGGTATAAGAGGTCACATTATTGAGTCTCTTCGCCATGATATCCTCTTACAACAATTATTTAACTGCCTTAGTGTATCTTTATTGTTTTAAATTCATCTATGATAAGACGATGTTAAAAGATTCGTCGCAGAAACTTAACGGTCTAACATATATATTGCTTGTTTTCATTAAGGTAAATTACAGTGAAAATTGTTGAATTACATTAAAGATACGTGTGAAAATTACCTTTTTGTAATATAATTATGTAATCTAGACATATATCGGTGCCGCATGACCAGCTTGCATTGAAGTCAACCTTATTTCAAATTTCAAGGACAACAAAAGGGGCCGCAAACATGATCTGCAACGCATCCAGGTTCGTAGGGAGCAATATCATTTTGGAGAGGGGATGCAGCCTAACATTAATTTTTGACAAGCAAAGAAAAAAAGAGGTTCTGCATTTCATTTTTAAAACATCCTCAAGTTTAGCTTTGTTAAAAAGCTAACCTCAGTGTTTGCAGGCATAACGCGTAAAAAGGTTTTTACAGTTAAAAAGTTAACATTGAAGTATTGAGTTTCTGAGAAAAATTGTGGCATAAAAGTTGAAGTGATAAAGCATCATGTCAGCAAAATATGCAACTTCAATTGTAGTTAGATGAGCAATGGGGGACAAACAAAGCCTGAATAAAAAATACAACCAGCTTCGTGTATACTGAATACTTAAGATAAAGACATTTGTATTACTCCTAACCATCCGTCTATTTCTGATGTGTTTATCATTATTGTTGTATTTTTTATGTCAGAGACAAAATAAGTCTCTCTCTCTCTCTCTCTCTGTCTTAGAATATTAAAGTTTAGAATCCATTTCTATCCAGATTTATTTGACTCTTACATTTAAATGGCTACACTCTGTACATGTATTTGAAATATCTTTATTTCCTATTTTGACGTAAACAGGGCATTCGATGTTTGTTGTGACTAAAAATAGTTCAAATAGGGGTATTTCCTTGACGGGTTGTCCATCCTGCTATTCGTTAGCGACATGTAACTTCCCCTTTTTAGCTGCCAATAATGTGGCACCCAAACACTCAGTCTTTAGTCCTATTCTACTATAAATACGAGTGAATTCTGAAAGGTAAGACAAAAACTTTTTAAACGCACAACATATAATTTTATTTCTTAGGAGGCACATCGATAAGAAAAAATATATAACATGGCAATGAAAAAGGTATATATATCTTAAGCTATCAAAAGGAAAAAGTTATTCGAACCTTCCTTATCAATATGTACCTTGAAATAAATTACACTGTTTAAAGTTTATTTTCTCTTTACTTTTGGATTTTGAGTTCATAATTTTTGTTAATTGTAAATATATTGTAAAAAATATTCCTGATAATCATGAATATGTGATATTCATATCGGTATTTTTTTCCTTAATTTCAGGATTTTCTTGAAGTATTTCTTTTAGTATTAGTTGTTTGTCTGGTGGAATGTAGCAGTAAGATTTGTCAAAACCCGCCCTCCAGAGAAATGCGGAAACTGAGGAGGGGACTGAGCCAGCTAAAAATAAAAGATTTACCGGAAAGTTTCTTTTTAATGGAGCAATTACGGAACAGTACCAGTGCCGTGAGCAGCATTTCAGTGGAATATATCAACAGACTTTACGTCAAACTAGATAAAGACAACACAGATTGTCCTAAAAAGCTACTTCCGGGGATGGATCTATGTCCCGGATATAAGGTTATGGATTTTGACAGATTTCGGATCCCCAGAATGATGCTTCAGGTGAAGTGTAAGTGTAAATCTTGTGTCGGACGCGACGACAGCTCAACACACTGCACGCCTATGTACTATTATACCCGGGTACTGAGGGTTACGGATTGTGATGACAGGGGATTTTATGTCTACAATTATCACTGGGAGAAAGTCTCCAACGGCTGTGTATGCAAAGGAAGAAGAAAGGCCCCCCAGCTTCCCCAGTGATTTAGAGGAGCAACACAACGTGAATGCAAGCAGCAGTTTTATACTTTTTTATTTAACTTTGAGAATGCTTATTTTATACCTCATGTTCGTGTTAGGTTTATATGAGCGAGTGTATTGTGCAGAATTGAGAGGATATGGTGGTATTTAATTTTTTAAATGCTATGTGATTATTTTATTGTTGAGGGCAAAACTTCAGGTAACTGTCTCCTTATTCTAGTCAAAACCATCTCCCAGTGATTAAATCATGTGTCATTAATCAAACATCGATCTCCACTGCCAGGTCCATAAAGAAGGAAGTAAATACAACAGTTCACCTATATTGGCATAAACTCTGTACCTTGCAGGGTTTAAAGGAAACGTAGCCGTTACCGCTTTATCAAATTCAAATTATAATTCGCAGTGAAGGAAGTGATAGGATTCTTACTGCGATACGTCGATTTTTTCCAACTGCTTTTTTTCTTCCTTTTAATTTATTTTGATAAGTCAATATACCACTAAGTCATTTATTAACAGTTATTTCTTGCTGTTTAATTATAATACTTTCTCAAAAGAGTTTGAGGAACTCTTACAATCTTGTTTTTGTGACTGCCAAGTAACGTTGTTCCCAAGATAATGTGTTCAACGACACATAACGTTTCTTATAATTTCTTAACTTTAATTGATGTTTCTTATTTTTCAAGCCAAGAAGTCAAGTGACAATTATTACTTTAAGAAATCATAACATTTATCATGTTTCTTTCAAATTGATTTCATGCATTAATTTGTATTGTCTCATGCAACACCAACATACATCTCTACAAAAATGTCTTTCATAGTGCCAATAAGAGTATTTTGTCAATTTTATTTTTGCATTTTATTCAAATTTCTTTATTTTGTAACAGTTTTATTTATTAAAATATACTTTATTCCATGTTTCAATCTTTATTTAATATCAGTTGTTTGTTTTTAAATCAGGAAGAGTTTGTGGACCTACGTGTATTTTGCAGAAACTTATTTAAGGAATCACTGTCTAGTTAGTAGAGTATGCCAGGGCATCAACGATAGTTGGAAACGTGGGATAATTTGCATAAAGAAAGTGATTCCTTATATTTCCATTTCATTGTGAAATAAAATTGTAAATTTAGATTTTAAAAATGTAGACTAATAGATTTAAATTACACGAGGCCTCACATGTCAATTTTAATAGCCCCGCCCACTGACGTCAAACACAAAGACAGGCGCACGAGAATTACATGCATATTAGGCCTTCTTAACTCCTGACCTTTCGCTTGGCGAAATTTGCATTCCGTTAGAATGATCAAGAAATCAACTCTCCTAACTTTAAAAGAGTTATCACAGAGAAAACAAATAGAAATGGAAATATAAGATATTCACGCACACATTTTTTCTGACATAGTTTGAAATATAACCTATCAGACCCCTGTAAGAAGGTGAAATCAGACATTCGACACTAAAATGTGCATAGTTTGAAAACTGCCATTTAATACAGTACAAAAGTATGTTATGCTGTTTACAAAGCTTTCTGTTACTAAAATTCAGTAAATATATTGATACCGGTGTTGTAGAGTAGGACTTCCCGACAGCCCAGCTTTCCCCCCGAAATCTGTCCTCTAGAGTAAGATTTCCCCCCGAGGGGAAATCTCACTCTAGAGCCAGATTCCCCCCTCTTTCTTTCTCAGAGTAGGATTGCCCCTCTTTTACCGATACTTAAAAGATATCGACAATATTTTGGCTAATAATCTATATGAAAGGCAACTGATTTTTTAATGGAAATATTTGTGTTTTCGACTCAAAAATTGTCGAATTTAGTATGAAATCTAATCTTAAAATATATAGCTCAAAATCTCGTAAGACTTGATGTCTCAACACCCTCTCTCGACGCAGCGGTACCTGTTTCTTTATAAATTCAAAAATGTATATCAGACAACCTTTGGTTATATGATCTGTTTGCCCTCTAAAAATCCAGCATTTCATCTATGGATTGATTCTTTTTACAAAGAGTGTGTGAGAAAATTCTTCAATTTATATGTTGTTGATAGGTTCCACATACCATTCTGTATTTGAATCAAGTAGTTTTTCAAAGGGAAAAAATGAAGAAGAAAAAAAACAAAAACAAAACAAGAAACATTGCTTTTGCAAGCCGAAGCATATGTCCCCTCGATCCCACCGGTGTAGTATTGGATATGAAAGCAGAGAGCAAATACTCTCTTAAAGTTTTGCAAAAGTTCATTTTTTTTTTTTAAGAAATAAATGAACATTCGCACTCTCGCCTTGAGGGCGAAGATGGAGAGTGCGAAGTTGCGAAGGCGAAAGTGCGAAGGAGCGAAAGTGCGAAGGCGAAAGGGCGATACTAATATCGCACTTTCGCCTTCGCACCTTCGCACTTTCGCCCTCGCACCTTCGCGCTTCGCCGTCACATCTTCGCACTTTCGCTCCTTCGCCTTCGCAACTTCGCACTTTCGCCTTCGCAACTTCGCACTCTCGCATCTTCGCCCTAAAGGCGAGAGTGCGAAGGTGCGAGTGGCCCCAACGGAACACCATAATATTGGAAAATTCGAAAAACTTGCAATTTATTTGCACACCTTGTAATATATATGCGATAATTTTGTGTTTTATATATAAAAAGTGGATATTCATATCCAAAGCTTCTTCTTCAAATGTAAAAACTTGTGATTCATATTCGATAATTCTGTGATTTAAGGCAATAATTTTGTGATTTATATACGAAAAATAGATATTCATGTTCGAAAACTTGTTATGTGTATGCAAATTTGTGATTCATATTCGATGGTCATGTGATAAATATTGCGTATAAATAACAATATTTTGCAGATAAATCATAAGAATATTGCGTATAAGTCACAAGATTATCGAAAATGAATTAAAATTTTTGCATATAAATAACGTTTCAAATATGAATTACAACTTTAACAAGATTTTGCATTTAAATAACACAAGATTATTGAATAGGAATCACTTTTTTCTGTATGAATAACAAGTTTTCGATTATGAATATATCCACTTTTTGCATATAGAGCACAATTTAAGATTATCGCAATTAAATCACAAGATTATGAAGTATGAATCACAGAGTGTTGCATATAAATAACAATTTTTAGAATATTAATATCAACTTTTTACTTATATATAAGAATATCACATATAAACCACTAGAATCACAAGGTTTTTGCAAACTACAGTATAAATAACAAATTTAATTTTGTAAATAATAAACTTTTCGAACGTAAATCACAAGATTTCAATCAAAAGTTTACGAATATGAATTAGTTTACGAATATGAATAACAAGATTTTTAAAAAATATAAATCACAAATTCAATCAACTTTAACACAAAATTTGTATTGTAAAGCAACGTTTTACACGCTATAGTTAGTCTTCAATGAGGTACGTGTGTATTTTTACTGTCAAAATTCATATTTTTGTGATGATGATGTTTATGTATGTATGATGTGTGTGTGTGATGATGTGTATGTGTGATGTGTATGGGTGATGTAATGTGTGATGATACTGATGACGAGGATGGAGTCTTATGGGAATTAGACGAAGCTGTTACTCAGGTATCTTGAAGACACGAAACCATCCCTTGTGTATAAGTTGGCGAGGGAGGAAAGTGTATCATAAAACGCATAACATGGAATGAGTACAATTAATGTAGGCCCTTAGGAAGTCATTTGAGGCGGGGGGGGGGGGGGTAACTGAATTCTCGTACAAGCCAAAAAAGGGGAAGGGGGACATCAGACGTTATTATGAGGGAACACTAAAATAATTCTTTGGTATAAATCGGCAAAATTATTGGGGATACCCTTGCTTCCCTTCGCAGTCCCTACGACCCGGTACTTCTGGTCTTACTACAAACCAAATCGACCCAATTTGGCAAAAAAAAAAAAAAAAAATGGATCCCTATTGAAAGTAGGACAACGCATGTATGTTGTATTTAAAATACACCTTGGATAAGATATCAGGATTAAGTTTACCTTGGCATAATTTTTATAAGAACGCGGAAACTATTTCTCATAGGCTCTTAAAACAGTGTCATCTCCAATAGCAAATTTAATTGTTGGCATTCAACAAATCGTGACCATCACACACGCTTAGCATGTTGTTTCTTGAGCATTAAATCTCAGTTAGTATGTTATTCAGTTTGAAATCCGTATTTATTCAATTGGGTAGCTGAATTTTAGTTCCGTTTAATTACCTGTTCACTTGAAAATAAAAACATTTATCAGGAAGAAAAAAAAATAAAGCAAAATCTATATTTGAATTCTATATCTCAATATCATTATGCAAGAAGGCAATTTATATTGACAGATCAAAATAGATTCTGTTGCATATTCCCTTCCCCTTAACCATCACTTTATATAATCTTAATAAGTCCTTGATTCAATTAATACACAAATTCAATGAGAATATGAATGAAAAATTTATATAAGGAATTAAAATTGTTCATAGTTATTGACTTCTGAGGGCTTGTGTCATAATGTTCATATCTTGGAATCACTGGCATACTGTATTATCCTAAAGATAAAAATCATCTCACAATTCTCATCAACAAATAATCAGGTAAAACCTACAATGCTTCCAGACACGGTTTCATTTTTTTTTTTCATTTTTGTGATCTTGACCTTTAAGATATGACCTTGTGCCAAAATCACAAAATTTCTTATAATCATCAATAACAACACACTGAAAAATTACTTCATTCCAACTTAGATTATCAAAAATATGGCACGGGAACAATTTTACGACCGAGCCGTTCGCCCGCGTGGCGCAGTGGTTAGAGCGTCTGCTCTAGAGTCGCGAAGTAAGGAGTTGATCCTTACGTCGCGGGTTCGAATCCCACTGTGGGACGTGGTGACCGGTCCTTCGGATGAGACCGTATAAACCGAGGTCCCGTGTCGCAATAGGTGTTGGCACAAAAAAGATCCCTCACTGCTCAATGGCCGTTAGTGCCGAGTATGGGACAAAATTTGCAGCTCTCC